ATTTTCTGTTAAGATCTTGGTGATATTGTTCAGATATTAGGTCAGTTCGTTGGAGTAGTATTTGCAGTGCTCAGACTCTACTGATTTTTTCGTTGTTTCTTGGGAAACGAACGCTCAAATTAAATCTCAAGCACCTACGGTGAGAGAACTGTGTTCACACAGGTCTCGCTTCATTCGATTAATTTTTTTTAATAGCAATTTAGATTACTTGTTCTGCTTTTTTGTACTTAATAAATTATTTGATTTGTAATAGTTTGGCTAACATTCGGTTAGCGTATATATTTATACGGTATTTCTGTTAGTTGCAAATCCGGTACGTGTTGCAAATTCAGTATGTATCCATTCGATATTTGTTAAGTCAGTATTCATTCACTATTATTTTGATCTAACATTTAGTGGGTATGATAAAACACACCAAAATTACATTAGTAGTAAATTTTACCATTTCTGACAATTCAAGAAAAATGGTAGGCACACGTCAATGGCATGCAAAATAACTCCCAAATACAATGGGCAAGGAGCTCATTTCTGTTTAGTCGTAACGATGCCCAAACAAAAAACAAAAATGACACTTTAAAAATTCATGAACAAGGCCCCGTGCCTTCTAATTGCACAATTTAGTTTGACAACAGAAATAAACTGCAAATCAAACCAAAAACAATAAGCAATAAACATCTGTCAATGGCGGTTAAAATTTGAAATCAAAACCCTTCATTAATCGTCACAACTTCTCCTCCTCCAACTCCCTCCAATTCCTCTATATAACTTCTGTGAATCCCTTAAACCAAAACTCTTCTGTAATTTGCAAAATCAATCACAACCATCTTTTGCAAAAGATAACAATCGATCGATCTTTCAAAAAGTTTCTATAAAAATGGCGTCCTTAAAATCCCGTTTGGAGCACGCTGTTACACCCACTGCCCTCAGATCNNCTGTTACACCCACTGCCCTCAGATCGTATCTTGCAGAGTTCATTTCCACATTCTTCTTCGTCTTCGCCTCTGTTGGAGCCACTATGTCGACGCGTAAGTTTTCGTTTTCTTGTTTCATCGAAGGGTTGGAACCACAATACCAGTGGTGAAAATGGGTGGTCCCCAAATTTATTAAAAATTTGATCTCTAATTTATTGTTAATATGGCTTAGTTTGTTATTGTTTTGCTTTAATATGATTCTTCGTTCGTACCCATATCGTGATTACAGTGAAAATGATGCCGGATGCAGCATCAGATTCATCCAGTCTGCTAGCTATCGCAGTTGCAAATGCCTTTGCATTATCAGTAGCAGTGTATATTGCTGCTAATATCTCCGGTGGCCATGTGAATCCCGCTGTTACATTTGGAATGGCTATCGGAGGCCACATAAGCATTCCGATGGCCATTTTCTACTGGATTTCTCAGACCCTTGGCTCTGTCATGGCTTGCGTTCTATTAAGAGTGACCACTGTTGGACAGGTACAAATAGTTGTCAATGCTTCAGAATGTACAGTCAGTTTGTGCATCTCTTTCTAGCAACGATCTCAAAAGTCCCTTTTTTTTTATTCATTATGCAGCGCGTTCCGACGCACTCCATTCCGCAAGAAATGACAGGTTTCGGTGCTGCCGTATTGGAAGGCGTGATGACGTTTACATTGGTCTACACAGTATATGCTGCTGCTGATCCGAGGCGAGGTTCCTTATCGGTAATTGGCCCGTTGGCGATAGGGCTGGTGTCCGGGGCTAACGTGCTGGCATCGGGACCCTTCACCGGTGGTTCAATGAATCCCTCCTACTCCTTTGGTTCTGCACTCGTTAGAGGAAGTTTCAAGAATCAAGCAGTCTATTGGATTGGACCATTGATTGGAGCAGCAATTGCAGGAATTCTATATGAGCATGTAGTTTTCCCTGCTCAACAAGAGCCTGATTCATTGAGGGGAATTGCTCGTGGAGTAGAATTTTAATCATTAAGTAAAGAGTTCAATGTATTTTTATATTCTTGTAACTTATATTCAACAGAATGATTATATGTAGTAATGTAATATTTCATTCCAGTGACAGAAATCTTTTTCTTGTGGTTTTGATGTATGGTAAAAAAATATCATTGCACCAACAACCTAGCTAAATCACACGAGCATGTGACCAAATTGGACGATAAATATCAAAAGTGCCTTGAAATTGAAGGACCCTCTTTCTCTGTGTAGTACAAGGGTGGCAGGCTTTTACCTGTTTTTTATAGTAACAACTTATACAATCAATATTTTATATGGGCAACATCAGTAGCGAATGCAATGAAATCACGACCCCAATACTTTTACAGTAACATCTGTGGCTGGAGAGGGTCAGAATCCAATGAAGCTCCATCTCTCGATACAACTTTGTTTATTCATGCTAACAAATCTTGGATCTTCAACAGGCAGAGCTTGATCCATGAACTTGTTTGAGGTTTAAATTACCAACTTGCTTTCACAAGAACAACCATTTCCCTTTTTTCATCCACATGCCACATAGTGATACAAGCCCTTCTAGAGAGAGAAGGAACAGTGGGTAAAAAATTGGATCAGTGACAACTGAGTGATTTGAGAGCTTCGTTGCATTCTTAATGAGAATGTAGCAATGTATCATTTAGTTCGAGTCAGATAACATACATCATTATTTCAGCTAGATGCCACTCTATATTACAACCACCTAGGTCGGCATTCCCTTAATTTATCATTAGTGCTACCTCCTCTTGGTAGCATACATTCTCCTGTTTTCTTTTTCTTTTAATCTTACCATTTTAGTAGAGACAAACATTGATACATCCTCATTCCACTATGTTAATCTTTTGCTTGTTTGCCCTCTAATGCCCCAATCTTAGAAGAATAAACCAGCAAAAAGGCTGAAGTTAACTCAAGTTTTTAATGATAATCATGTGCATTTACCATCTCGTGTAGTAGGGAAATTCTCTTCCGAGTTGGAGCAACTTTTCAAAAACCCCAATACCACAAGCTCAATAGAATTCAAAAAGGGTTTTAAGGACAGGATAAAAAAAAAACGATTTAAGAATGATCGATCATGGGTTGTGGCTGGCAATTTCAATTCTGTTTTTTACACAGGAGAAAAGGTGAAAAACTAGTTATCATATGTATCTATCACTAAGTAGCAAGAAACCTAACTTGATCTTCTAAATCCTGGCCATTCAAAAACTAGCTCTAATCCATTGTGATAGACCATTTCACTAGATTCTATGTATTAGCTATCTAATCAACAGGGAATCCACTAATTTGCATCTACAACCTACTGGACCATGTTCAATAACTATATTTCGTACTTGAGATAGATACATGCAATAATGCATATAAAAGACAGAATTTTTCGGGTAAAAAACCATACCTTAAATTCATCAATCTATGATCATTACGGAATTTAATTTCCCACTGTCTGCTCACTAGTAACAGACAATGTGCCCTGCTCAATACACTGAACATAGAAAACAAACCATTTAGAATAACAGTATGAGGTGACAGTGCTCACATCTATGAATAGTTAAACAAAAAATAACTGGAAGGCCAGGCAGGTATCAGCTACCTCAAATATCTAGGAATATATATAATACCTGGAGTAGATAATTGTGTAGCCAATCCAGTGTTTGGGGGAAGGTTGTCGCAGATATGTTGACAACTGTTAAACCCTGCTCACATAGTGAAACATAAAGAGCATTAAAGAATAATACATGTTTGCCCTATAATGCAACTCGCCAAATAAATGACTTGCTCAACTAATATGAGAAACTCCTCCCAGATCTTTATTTTTACTGTTCAAGATAAATTGTCATACTTCCCACTTTCAAGTGAAGACAGTGTTGGCAGAGTTATCCACCACCCATAATCTGAATCTAAAATAGATGGGTACAATCATCACAATCTGCTTGAATATACTTCGACAAAATCAACAAGATCTAACATAAAGAACAAGGGGATGGGTAGACATTGTGAGCTTGTGTTCACTATTTACAGTAATTTTAATCTTTTTGTTTTCCGAGTAAAGAAAACAATGGTTACCTCAGGCAATCATGATGAACAGTGTCAGGGAACAATCTGGTAATTGTCATCTGACAGTTCTTTTCTATAATAAGATCATGGCACCCCCCCCAAACCCAGTAAAAGAGAGAGAAGCTGGTCCTCCATTCTTCAGGGTAGAGTTCCTAACTAATTCCTTAAGGCATATAATTAACAAACCACTTCACATCGTCAAATTACATATTGCATGCTTTTGTAAGTTAACATTCCATTTCACCATTAGGTGAAACTGATCATACCTGTGACTTAAATGAACAAAGGTAGTCCTGGATTGTTTTTAAGTTGCTTATTAGCTTATCTTTGTCCTGGAAAAAAGATCAGAAAGAAGTGCATTTGTTAAAGATACATAAGAAACCCATACAGATAACAACTGCATAGACATTGTAGAACTACGGCATCAACTAAAAGTTTTAGCCAACAAAGAGGGGATGAATTTATCTATCTATTGTTTTCTTTTCATCATGTCCCTCACTACAGGGAAGGTTTTCATGAAATGGGTACTGGTGAGATTTGTTGCTAGTACCTTACTGAATTACAGATTTATCTAAAAGCTTAAAATAGTAGCAAGGTGATGAATTTTGTATTTATACTTCATTTTTCAATGAAAATCAATTAAATTACTGATAAAAGTAAAATAAAGAACAGAAACATAATGTCATTCAAAGACATTTGGAGCCTGCAATTGGATTGAATTTGAAGCAAGTACGCTAGCTTGGTAAATACTGAAACCTTAATTGGATATTTTTCACAGCTACGAGTAGATATCCATTCCTCTAGCAATGCCTGTGCAAGAGCAATAAATTGATTAAAGAAAAAATCTTACGAAGAAAATAAGGCTTGAATAGTAGAGGCTTAAGTTTCTCATTATGGTAACAGAAACGATACAATTTTTAACCCACCTTATGATCAAAGTCGGCCATCTTTAGGATTATTGGAACTATTATGGGTTCAGGACCAGACTTTTCTCTTTTGACTGAAGGAGCCTTGTCTGCTTCAGAATCGTTAATGGTCTCACCTGTGATCCAAGTAAAATTTAGAAACAAAGATTTATCCTGCCAAAAAGGTTCCTGTAAAGAAAACATAGTACATAACTGCCTAATGCCAGAAACGGTGGCACAGAAAAGAACAACAGTTTTCACCTTCATTATCAGGTAGACTGCTACCTATATCCACAGATTTCAGATCATCGGCAACTCCATCTACGGTACATATTATTTCCCCTGATCTCCCTTCCTGACGGCTCGCATCCCTCTTGCCTTGATTACCATTTTCAGTACTGTAATCATTCTCAACTGCCATTCCAATTTTATCATTCTTCGAAGACTTCTCTTCATCTAATACTGGCAAGGATGTCAATAATTTATTTTCATCATCCATTAAGTAGATACTTGGATCCAAATGCATTCCCTGACATTGTTAGTACAACATGGATCAGCACTAGGGCGAGGTTAAAAGTTCGTGGTGTTCATTATCAGTTCCCAAAAAGTTTAATGTGATAGCATCAAGAATGCTGCCAGCATCTTCCTTATTTTTTTCACTAAAATTCATATCATATGATGCTGGCATAATGCTACCAAGCCAAACAGTTCTAGGTAGAACAGCTTTATAGGTGGAGTGGCTTTTCCATTCTAGGCCATTCCACCATACCAAAATTAGTTGAAGAAGAACTCTGCTGGTTCCAATCAATCAATTAAAAAACAAACCCCACTGTCATGAACTGGTATTGAAAACCAAAGAGGTGTATAGCATGAAGATGTATACCTCAATTATTATCGGCTTCCCATCTTTCATTGCTTTTTTCAGATCACCAGCCAGACCTACATGGGAATGTCCTTTCTGACATCTATTACATTCCTTAAAATGTTTGAGAATAATAGAAGAAGAGCTATTGCATTACCTTTACGAACAATCCAACATTCTCTACAAAACTCAGTTATTAGTTCCTCAGAGGAGCTGAAATCTCTAGCCCACACAGGGGAAGATGCTAATGGTGCACTGAGATGAATAATAGGTTCATGAGCATTTTGATATAGCACAAGCTTCTTTAACAATTTACATTTACAATATATTATTAGAGTGTGGGATCTCTCTGAGAAAATAATCCAGTCAGGAAAACGGACACAAACAAGGTGTAGAACCACTTGATCTAAAAACTTAAACTGTTAGATAAGGCTGAATGTATATTATTTAAATATTTTCCTCAATGTTCCCCCTAACGTGTAGGCAGGATTTTTTTTCCCCATCAAAGCCTTACCGACGCAAAATTTCATTTAAGCGGCAAGACTTGAACATACGACATTTGCAAGTTCATATACTATGTTGAACGACTAGAACTAAAAGCTTAAACTGTAAGATATGGCTAAATGTATATCATTCGAATATTATCTTTAACATAAAGGAAAAGGAAAAACCTTAAAACCAGTCAATCCTACCAAATGTCAAGACAAAGATACATGGAAATTTTATGCCCGTTGATTTTGAGAGAGCACACTCCCATTAAAGGAACAAGGCACTACCTCAGTTGTGCCAACCTTACAAACTAAACATGGTGCAAGATAAAAGCAAGTCGGAAAAAAGCCAAATTATAATTTTGATAGTGTGTAATCCAAATTTGCAACATGTCAGACTTTGGAAAAACGACAATGCACTAAAAACAGTTACGGTCACCTACTCTGTTGCTGTGCGTAGCAGTTCATACACCATGCCTGTCTGCAGCATCAATAAAATGTATCAGGAAAGTAAAAAAGCATCAGTACTATACTGAAACTAGATCTAATATAGCTGAAAGGTGTGTCCAAGCGATATACATGTAAAAAGGCCAAAGAAGGGAAATATGAAAGAGGCTTGCCTGCAAAACATTGGGCAAGTTTAGCCGTTGGGCAAGCTGAGTAGCAATTGTAGACTTTCCCACACATGCAGTACCACAAACAAGTATAACCAAAGGTACCCTTTGATGATGAAATCTAAAGATGAAGAAATATCGAAAACAGTACAAAAAAATAAAAATAAAAAATAAAAAAATAATTAGTATATCCGATCCAAGCATTAATTTATGATATTGAATTTGAAAAATACAAAATGACTGACCTTGTCATCATTTTATAGCGGTTTATATATTCTTCCCTGTAACCTCGCCGCACCATAAGCTACACAATGCAATGAATGAATTTGCAGTTTGTCCAGACAAAGTTCAAAGATTTTTACCCGTGAAAAAAATAGAATTTAGGGAGAGAGAAAAGAAAAGAGGGTTTATGAAAGAAGAAAGAAGGAAAACCTTCCAGCAATTAACTAAGGTTGGGTCTCCAATTCCTCGAGTTGTAATACAAAACCTAGAGGCTACTGGCTAGGAATTTCAACTTTATTTTACTTTGGCATGTATATTCACTGATGGTAAATTATAAGATGGAGGCTATAAGTTCCCATTGAACTGATTTCTGGGGTTGTAATTTTTTTGTTTGCAATAAATGAAGCACAGGTGTCAGATAAATTGAACAAATAGATCACAGCTTTACTTCATAAACACATACTCAAGAATAATGTAGCCGCATGTCATCTGCTACTTGAATCGTATTAGATTATGGTTTAGATTTATACACAAAAGAAATACAGGTGCAAGCGAGATTGCAGTAGGTCAAGATAATGAACTCTTTGGATCTTAGTAAACATGTCGATCGCAGTTAATATTGGATTTTGATCCAGGATAATATTGCTTAAAACACTGCAACTGGTACTTGATCTTGACCATATAACATTTCCCAATTAAGGAGAAACTGTTAGAAAAAGTTTCCTTACTGTTTCATGAAAAAACACAAGCGAACCATTGCCTGCTCTAATGGGGGCTTTATTTTAATTATTAAACATTTTTTGTTCAAGAAAAAACAAAATGTTAAAAGAAGTGACAGGAAAATTCAAATCAGAGAACACCACAAGCAGTGTACCTTGAATAAATTGGCTTCCAAATCGGATTGTGAGCTGCAAGAAATCACAGATTTTCTAACAAAAGCAGACAAAATTGCCAGTCCAAAAGCTGAGAATAAGATGTTAGAACATACACATCAAGAAGGCTATTGTCAATTAGCAACTTTTTGAGTTCAAGAGCAATCTTAATAGCCACGTGATTCGGAATCTGTAATCAAGACAAAGAAAATCAATAGTAAAACTAAACTGATTCAGAAAACTCAAAACACAATGAATCACCAAAAATGGTAAAACCTTTGAAATAGTAAAGAGTTAAAAGAACTTGAACCTTAGTGACAGTTAACATCCTACTAAGCAAAAATCTGGACAGCACGTAATAGTGATCAGCATTATCACCCAACCACACCTTCACCTGTGAAAGTTTCAAAAACACAATACATTAAACCAAAATAGCATCAGTTTACGATCGAATTAAGAAATAATTATTGTATGACCACAAAAAGGGTAACAAATTAACAACAATTCGTACCTTAACGAAATCGTATTTGGACGAAGCGTTGCGAGTGGAGAATGGGAAAGCTGCTGCTCTTTGATTTTCATAATCATCATCTTCTTCTTCCTCATTTTTGCTAGGGTTCTCCATTACCAATTCCTTATCTTTCTTCATTTTTTTTTCGATTTTCTTTGATTTTCCTTTTCGCGTCTGTGACGTAAAGGAATTTCTTAGGGAAATAGAAAGAATTCACAATTCAGTGTGCGTAAAACATTTACCACAGCTTCGGACAAGAACAAGAAGAGAATTAAGGATCTATCCACATTATATTTGTCATTTTCTCTATTATTTGAATTAAATAATAACAGCGGATTGATTTAATTTTTCGATCATTTTGTTCGATCCATCTAACAAAATTCAGCTGATTCAAACAAATGAAGGAAAATTTTCTTTTCGTGACAAGTCGATAATGTGGAAGGCTTCTTAATGAAGACAGAATTGAATTCCACTAGGAAAAGTGGATTCTTCTATCCACTGCATTATTCCAAAAAAGAACATTCGTTTGAGCATTTTACTGAGGAAATAGGAGGAAATGATCTGTGAAGGTCTGTTAACAGACCATTTGCAGACCAAATATGGCATGTTACCATATTAAATGGTCTCTTAAGGCATGTTAACATGTCATATCATTTGCATTTGATCTGTTAATAGTTATTGGTCTGTTAACATATCAAAATATTATTTTTTAA